AGAGACACTGCCTCCCTTACCTGCTCCCATGTTCCATCGAGGTGCCCTGGCTCGGTGAGCTGCATCCGTGCTTTCTGGCCCTCTGCCCACCTTCTGTCCTTTGGCAGTTGCTTTCTTTGCTCTGTTCATGTATTTCATGCCTGGAGTAGGGTTTGAAACAGCAGCAGTTCTGTCCTTGTGGGGTGCCGGTGGGGTGTGTGGCTGTCTGCAAGGTGCTGTGTGACACTACGGGGTGCCTGGGCCCAGAGCCACACTGGTTGGAGAAGTTCCATTAAGAACAAAGGCTGGGACTTCCTGGCAGTCCAGTGGTTAAGACGCTGCATCTCCACTGCAGAGAGCACAGGTTCTATCCCTGGTAGGGGAACTGGGATCCTGCAGGCTGTGGGGTGTGGTCAAAAAGCAGAAAAAAAGAAAACAGAAGTGGGGAGCACTCTTGTCGGAGAGGAACCATGAGAACCCTGCTGTAGATTCTGACTCCTCTGATCTGGAGGCTGGGAGAAGAGGGCCTGATTTGACATTTGAAAACCTCTCAACTTATTACAAAAGCAATTTTGACTTCAGGGCTGGCTGTAGGTAAAATGTTAAGTGGTCATCCAGTGTCTGGATTCAATCTCTGAAAGTATTTTCCATGAAACACAAGGCCTTCTAGTCTCAATTAGATTGAAAACGCTCGAAAAGTGCAAATACTTTCAAAATAAAACAAAAAAAAATTGGTAGAAATATATCAGAATATTTTTTTTCCTCTGAGGGGTGAAGAAAGAAAGAAAGGAGAAAGGAGGGAAGGAAAGATGGGAGAGGGAGGGAGAGAGGGAGAGAGGGAGCTGGTTTTACTTTACATACTTGAGACCAGTCTCAGAATACATATATAATTTTATACACTCCTTTCTACCTAATATTACAGCATTAATTTCCTCAAACCATTTAAAAAAACTCCTCCTGAGGCAGATTTTTAAGAACTGTTAAGTACCTCATACAAAGAACAACCACTTAAAAACCAGCTTCCTAGAACTTTATGATTCTGAGAAAGCTCCAAACTTGGAAGCAGCAGGAAAACAGGCTCTGAACAATAACAACAATAATAAAATCACCTGAGCACTCAGAGGTAAATAAATATACGAGAAGAGCCAGAAAAAAAAAAGCAAAAAAAAACAAATGATGCCTTTGTATTGTGATTTTTATCTTTTGTTGTTCTGTGCAAAAAGTGTGGTGTGATTGATATTATTTCCACCTTCAAGCCTCAGGGAAGGAGTATGGAGGACACGAGTGTCTAATAACTCCTCACTTGTGCATTTCAGCCACTGAGGCCCCAGACTAAAAGAGAACTTAAATTTGATAATAATGTAGTAAAGCCAAATTGCAGACCAGAAACTGAAATGTGTGTTTCTGGTCTCTGTTTCTCCAGGCGAGAACATTGGCTGTTGAACCTAAAAAGCTAATAATTTAATATTTTCCTCCTTGGCATGCTGTAGCATCACCCCTTCCTTGAGGCAAGGAGAGGAGATGCACTGGCTCTGATGAATGTCAGTGGGGGACCATACCCCCTCGATTGATACCCACCATAGGAATAATTATTGCCTTGGTGATGGCTAGTGTATCTGTCTTTTTAGCCAGTTTCAAGGTTCAGCATATGTGCTATGGCCCACCATGATCAGGCTTCTAGTGGGTCTGATAAAGTAGTAACGCAGGATGGCAAGGCCATGTGCTGGAGTAAGAATTTGCTTGCATGGCAAATTCTTAGGCCGTGAATGTTGACATGGCCCTTCTCCAGCCAAGGTCCTTCTCTGGGGCTCCTTTTGATGATTGTAAAATTTTATTTCCCTATAAAATTTCATTCCCCATGTGGTACTGGTAGACTGCAACTGAGTTTGGGAATGTACATTGTATATTTTCAATATATATAATTCCAAAACTCAGATGTATCTGATCACATCAAATCTGTTGTTAACCATCTGTAAAGCTTATACTAACGAAACAAGATTAGAATAAAGGAACATTTTAACTATTTCTCCTTTCATAGTGACACCTCACTGATTCAACTATGAACCAGGCCATTGTTTCAGAATGTGATGTGTTCATTGCAGAATTGATCCCATGGGAAAGTCAATTTATTCTAAGGGATTTGCGGGAGTTTAAGTCTTATTTGTTAGGATAACATTGTTAATGCATGTACAAAAATTTTGTTCAAAGCCATCTTGGAGGAACTTGTTTGGTGTGAACTCTAGTCACGTGTTTCAAGTATCCTATTCTAACTTGAGATAAACTTGGAGGCATGCAAGTAAGTCCTGTGCTTTCAAATTCTCATTCAGAATATGTTAAAAAGTTATTATTTAAACATTAATTTTTTGAAGCTGTAATATGTACACATGGTACAAAACTCAGACATTACAAATAAATATTAACTTCTTGTCAGATATGTGATTTGCAAATATTTTCTCTCATTCTGTAGGTTGCGTTTTCATTTTGTTGATGAGTTCCTTAGCTATGCAGAAACTTCTTAGTTTGCTATACTTCTCTTTGTTTATTTTTGCTTATGTTGCCTTTGTTTTTCATATCAAATCCTCCACTTATATTTGATTCAAATATCACTTCCAGTTTTTTCAGCTTTTATTTCTCTGCTGCAATTTTATCTTTGTCAGCCAATTCCTTTTTTCAATTATCCATTTTTCTAAACATCATTTTGCAAAATGTCATGTGGATTTATCACTGGGAGACAAGGAGGCAACACGATCCCTTGCTTTGCTGTCTGTGTGAGAACCGAATAATAGGTACGAAGTGAGGGGCCGACCACTGATAAACTTTCAAAGAAGTGATATGATTGACATCTGATCTTCATGTGCATCTGTTATATACATCTGATTTGTGGACTGCAGAGATAGAAGAGAAGTTTGTATTTAATGCATAATACTCACTCGTAATATATCATGCTAACTGAAATTTGAACTATGTTATTAGTTAACTAAACTGCTGTAACTGAAACGTCTACATTCCAGTCATGACTGCCTACACGGTGGCAGATTTTATTCCAAAGATGGTGCAATAGTCTCTCCCATCCTACATGTTCTTCTAGGACTTTGCCATTCCCATCTCAAAAGGTAGGATCTAATTCCCCTTTTCTTGAATCAGGTCAGTTTTGTGCCTTTCTGGTAACCAATAAAATGGGGAAAATAGCCTCATTAAAAAAAAATAGCTGAATGATTTCTAAAGATGAATCATGAAAGTCAATACACGTAACACTGGCACACTTTTTATCAAAGCTCTAAGTCACCATGTAAGCTACCCAACTGCTGGGTGACTATTGGGCTGTGAAGAAGTCTGAAGAAGTCTATTTGGAGAAATCACCTGGACGAGTTGTGTGAATTGGTTGATCCACTATTAGATTATTGAAATTTTAGGTTAAGTCTTTTGCTAATATAATTAATTTTATAACAAACATCTTGGAACGTGCTTCATTTTTCACAAGTGCGAATCTATGTGCCAGTTAAATTCCTCAAATCAGAATAAGCACAAATCTTGATATTGAAAGGATACATCAAAGAATTAGATTAAGTGAGAGTAAAGATTATATTTAGGTTTTCAAGGAAGTACTTAGTGGTCCACCTAGTGAAGTAGCAGTTACAAATATTACTCGTGCTAATAAGACAGAAGGTGCTAGTGGCACTGGGAAAAGACACATTTCTTTGTGAAGAGAAAATTCCATAGGCAAGAAAGTTTATTCTCTGACTTAAACATGCTTTTGTAGAAAAATGGCCATATCCTCTGACCAAGAAATTGGAGAGTTGCTTATTCTTTGATCTATGTTCTTTCAAATGCAGACAATGAACAAAAAACAGGCAGAGGGTGGGGAATTTTTTCAAGAGAACAGGTTTTAGGGGTCAATCTAGAGTCAGTACCATCCTTCTTTATGTTGTTCATCAGTTTGGTTAGCATTTACTAAAGGATGCTCAGCTGGAAACAAACCCTTTTGTGGGTGTTCCTCACAATAAGAACTTCACATCATTAACACAAGGGTAAGTTACATCAGTATAATTTATCTAAGAAGACAAGGAAGTTGATTTGATACTGTAGATTGTCATGAGAAAAAATACCAACATGACAATATTTGGCCTTAAAGAGTTAACCCTCTGGCAATCTAAAAAGTAGCTATCCAGAATGACTCACTTCTGTATGTTGCAAACTTTTCAAATTCTTTGTTTTGGGCTTGAACTTAATCTCCATGCTGAGCTGATTGAAATTTGTACAATGTATCCTTTTCAAGACAGTTACCCTCAGACATATCTTAGGTCTCTTTGGTGGCTAGTTTCAGTTCTCTATCTCAATAGACTTGATAAGGCAGTGTTTTAGTTAATATGTAGTGAAGTTCTGAAAGTGCCTAACAAACTTCCTTGTCTTTAGCTGACCCTCAGAGTATTTGTCTATTAATTTCAGGTTAGTTTGCCTTTTCATTTTAAAGTATGTGTATTTGGTTTCAAAGGGTTATGTTTTTCCTCTTTGCTGCATCATTTGATTTGGGCGCTTTGAATTTTTTTTTTTTTTGATAATTCTTTATTAGAATAGTGTTACTGTTTGCTAAACATGGTTAAAACCCAGTTTCCTGGGCAAACCTCAAAGAAGTGAAGTGGTGGAGGGTCCACTGAGTCTGATCCCGTCTCAGACTCTGCTCGTGTCACGTGCTGGCTGAAATGCAATTTGCCTTCTCTGCTTTGTTTACTTTCCTTGTGAAGCGCTCTCCTAAGACCTAACCTTTACTCAGTGGCTGACTTTCTTTATGGGAGTAAAAGGAAGCCTCCTTATGAAATCGCTGTTATGGGAATGATACAAGCTATCTAGTATTCAAAGTTCTAAACATTATTTACAAGGCAAAGATACCCCAACACATCAAAACAAGACCAAAAAGTCCACCACCACTCTTTCAACTGAAGTGATGAAACCCAAAGAATTCAGATAGCGAAATGGAGAAAATGAGAAGAAAGTTCATCTGAAAATCCGCCATTTGTGAAGTGATGAAGAACGTTTACTGGCTTAGTCTGAAACTTGTCAAGTTTGCAACTCTTGGCTGCCTATGGATTTCTGTGGTCCAGTGTACAGTTTTAAACAGCTGTTTAAAGTCATGTGTAACTAACCTGGTAAGTTTTCCTGGTCTAATATTTGTCTTTGTAGGAAGTAGAACAGATAGAATTCAGCTTGTTATAGTGGTTGAATTACTTCCTCTTTATGAGAAGTTTTCTCATAAGAAATGATAGCAAGGCAAGAGCCTTTTTCCCAAAAAAATTAGAAATGTTAGTGATTATAGTAAGGAGGGCAGAGCTGCTTTATTTCTTTCAAGTTGTCTCTTCATAGATTATTATTATTTTTTTTGCAACTGGGATCATGGGGTTCTGGCAAAGGAGGCATAAATGAAATAAATTTGCACACCTTAAAAAATACCAGTTTAACTCATTTATTACAAAATCATTTATATTCATCTTAAAGCATGAAATAGGTTCAGCCACAGGGCAATGCCTTGTCATTGCAAGCAAAAGTACTATTTATATTGTGGATAGACGATCGTTATCAGGAGGGGGATGATGAGGGAAGCAGATGTGGATGCAATGTAGAACACTTTATCTTATTATTGATCACTATATATTTACATGTTATTTTATGTATTATATACTTATATATTATTATCATTATTAAATGACAGAATTGTTTGTAAATTCCTGTCTATCTGTGCATTTATAATTTTTTTGGTGAGTTTTTCTGGAAATCTATGATTTTCTTCTCATTCTGGGTGTTATTCCTCCTAAATAGTGTTTCACATCTTTACAGTTGTATTGTGACTTATTTGTGCTTAAAACAGTCACTGAATCAAATTTAAAAGCCAAATACATTCTAGTCAGGGAAAGATGCACTCTTCTTATCTAAAGACAATATGACAATACTTATAGTCACATTTTTAAAATAAAAAAATACCAAATACAGTATTCATTATTAGGCTAAAGTATTAAAGATAGAAATCTGTGGTAGAGTAAAAAAGGAAAGGTATTTGTGTTATACTCTTGGTTTAATTTAAACTATCATTTTAAACACTACTTAAGCTTACTATTGTTTCGGCACTTTTTAAAAATATGGTTGGTATTTTATAGAATTCTTTGCTGAAGACTTCACTACCACGGATGTAGAAATATGTGCTTTAGGGTTTTTATAAACCCAAATATCCAAACTTAAAAATAGAAAACTGAGACTATTAAATGTTTTCTTTTTTTATTAAATGTTTTTCTCTGATTATAAAAACAATACATATTCATTGTAAAATGTTTATAAGATAGAGTAGAATAAAAGAAAAAATCCTGTAATTCCACAACTATTGACCTATAATTGTATTTTCTTTCAATGACTTTTCCTCAAGTATGTATATAATTTTTCACACACTGTGCACCCAGCTCTTTCATTGAACATTACTTTGCGGATTTTCCTGTATACCTTGATGTTTTTATGGAAATAAGGTCCTTAATATATTAAATATTGCATCATATGAATGTGCCACTATAATTTGTTTATTAATTTCCCGACTATCAAAACTGATGTTGGCTGTTTCTATTATTGGAGTCTCCATTTTATTTTTTAGCTAAATTTAGTTTTATCTTATTTCTGTGTGTGGGCTCCTTGATTTCAGGGTTTGGCAGAAGGAGTAGACAGTCTGTTCCTTTGCTGAGTTGCTTTCCGTTCACCTCCTACAGAGAAAGGCACAGCTGATATGGTGGAACTGCAGAAGACACGGTCTGCCAATTTGACTAGTGATTATAATCATGTTCTCCATCTGTTCCTCCCACATCAGGGCAGGGGAGACAAAAGCTAGGTGAAAGACCAGTGAATAGAGCCACGGATCAGAGGAACGATATGAAAAGTGCTGGATTTTATTGCACTGTTTGAATTTTTTTTTCTTTCTGTGCTATCGTTTTTAGCTTGGACTTTGCTATGAAGGTCATCTTTGATTTCATTGGGTGGTTCTTTCTGTTAATTAATTTTTTTATTATCATGCTTGGTAAATAACATACAGCATACCTCCTATAACTGCCAATTCATGTATCTCAACATTTTTAGAAAATTATTAGTCATTATTTCTCAAAAGTTTGCCTCTACTATATACTTTTCTTGCCTACTGATACATGATACTCTGTACATGTTCAGTCACTCAGTTGTATCTGTCTCTTTGCGCCCATGGATTGTAACCTGCCAGGCTCCTCTGGAATTTCCCAGGCAAGGATACTGGAGTGGGTTGCCATTTCCTCCTCCAGCGATCTTCCCTACCCAGGGATCAAAACTGCGTCCCCTGCATCTCTTACACTGGCAGGCAGATTCTTCACCACTGAACCACCTGGGAAACCCTGAGACTCAAATAAGATGTATATTATATTATCATTCCCACTGGTGATTCTTGATATTGAGGCATCTTTGCCTTTTAAAAAGAAACAAAAGTGTCTTGTAGAAAGAAATGTTAAAACTGCTGTCCCAAAATGCACAAATCATAGTTCTGTGTTTCAGTGTGGGTTTTACACTAATGGAGGAATCTGTATGTATTAGTTAAGTGTATTAACTGACCTGATATTTTAAGATTGCATATGCCATGTGCTTCAGAGAACAAAAAAATAATTACTGTTTTTCAGAACACTAGCATTGTGAGATCCTTTATGAAAAAGAAACAAAAGAGATTCGTGGCCAAATAATTTATGGAAATGCTTTTTGCCATATCCTCTTTTTGTAGATTCAACAGGATACAACCTCATATTGATGGCTTTGTTTAATAACAATTTTGTGATCTTCTTTGGCAATAAAATTCTTTTTTTTTTTTTGAGTAACAAATCCCAACAGTTGAGGACCTAGTGCTCAGAAGTGCTCTTTTAGAAGCCTCAAGTCAATTCAATAAGATTGTCAGAAATAATAAGATTCAGAAGGTTGTCCTGTTTAAAAAAGTATATATATGTGTGTATATATACAATACCTTTCTTGTATATCAATATACAACTTTATAACATGCGTGCTAAGTTGCTTCAGTCGTGTCTCTTTGAGACCCCATGGACTGTAGCTCTCCAGGCTCGTCTGTCCATGGGATTCTCCAGGCAAGAATACTGGAGGGGTTTGCCATGTCCTCCTCCAGGGGATCTTCCCAACCCAGGGATCCAACCTGCGTCTCTTATGTCTCCTACATTGACAAGTGGGTTCTTTACCACTAGCACCACCAAACCATAACTCCAAAATTCCATAATGTATCCAGAAATTAGTATACCATGCACCGATATAGGAATAGGCAAGCCAGTAAAACAGAATATGCTCCAGAAATTATACTATGTACCTAAGGGAGTGTGGAATATGATAAAGATGATAATTCAAACCAAAGTGAGGCTATCCATTTAGAATGAAAAATAACTCCTTCCTTCAGTAGGTGAAAGAATAAGTAAACTGACAATTCAGGTAAGGAGATATTATTCAAAACTATTGTAAAAAGAAATGAGCTATCAAGCTGTGAAAGACATGGAGGACACCTAAATGCCTATTACTAAGTGAAAGAAACCAATCTGAAAAGGCTGTGTGGCTCCAACTGTATGATGTTCTGGAGAGGGCAAAGCTACAGAGAACCTGGAAAGATCCATGGTTGAGAGTGATGGCACTGGGCTCTGGGGAGATGAATGGGCAGAACACAGAGGATTGTCAGAGCAGTGAAAGTACTCTGTATGGTAATCATTATACTTCTGTCCAAATACCAAGACTGAACCCTAAGGTAAACTGTGGAATTTGGATGATTGTGATTATTCCACTGTAGGCTCATGCTTACTAAAAAATGTGCTATTCTGATGAGTGGTGTTGATAATGGGAGAAGCTATGCATGTGTGGGAGCAGAGAGTTGATGGGAAATCTCTGTACCTTAAACTCAATTCTGTTGTACACCTTGAGCTAATCTAAACCAAATAAAGTAAAAAATAAAGTACTCCTTTCTTTGAAAACAAAAGTGAAAAAAAAAGATTCAAAAAATTTCAACTCCTATTAACATATTACTACCAGATTCAAATAAATTCCATGAGGTATTTTGAAAAGATATAATTTAAATACAAACAGACAAAAAAACAGAACAAGACTTCATCCTATAAAATATTTTGATAAGTTAGGAAAGACTATTTGTATAATCTTGGAGTGGGAAAGAAGTCTGTTTCAAACCCTAGACTCACTAAAAAAAATTATTAATAAATTCAACTGCTTAGAAATTAACTATATGACAATAAACAGAAGACAATAAAAACAAAGCCAAAGAACAGAAAAAAGTTTTACACATGATAAACACAATTTTACCAACTCTTATAAAGGAGAGTATTTAAATATTGTTCAGAACAAGAAGGCCTGCTTCTTTTTAAAAAAGAAACATTAATGGCTAAGAAACATTAATGACTAAAAAATGTGATAGATGTTCAACCTCACAGCAACATAGAATTGCATAGGAAAAATGAATAATCAATTTTTATTCTATCAGATTTGCAGAGATAAAGACATCTTATAATTGGCCAAGTTTGGATAAGCTGGAACTTCCATGTGTTTTTCATTAGGATGTAAGTTGATAGCATTCTAGAAAATAGTGGGTAAATAAATATCAAAAGAGATAAAAGAGAAAGCATACCTCTAACCCTGAACATCAATAAATTTATCTGAAGAGATTACTGCATCAATAATGATATGTCTGCAAAAGGCTGTTTACAGCAAATTTGCGCATAATATTAATAATAGATTTCTAAGTGCCTGGCACTGTACTATAATAATGAATATATAATTTAATTTAATCCTCACAAAACTTTAAGCACTAATTATTATCCTACTTATGTTTCAGATGAGAATACTAAGTTTAAACAACACAGCTAACTTTTAAAATGATCACATCAGGAGCAAATATCACATGTGGGATTAAAATGCAGATCATTCCGCTCTGTTTCATTACTAAGGCAGGAAGTAAAGAGGGAAGTTAGTTTTGGCTGAGGTGGGCAATATAGGGATGCTTGTGCCAAGAAGTAGGTGTTGGGTTGAGGATTTAAGATCTGGGACTGGGACAGTGTCTTTCAGGCAGGTAACTGGAAGAGGTGAGCTCAGGTAAATGATGAGA